CAAATTAGCCAATCAGAATTTCACCCCACTCCATAATATTTCAATTTCACATAATTTCAATTTCACATACAACAGCATCAAAGACAGTATTAGATTGATTCATACTAACTTGATTTTATGTAGCATCATCAATTAAAAATCCAGTATCACTGTAAATGCAGCATATGAAGGTGTTCTAAAATTACTCTGATCATTGGTAATAACTTCAACTTGGTCATTTTGCCAACACCAACACAAGAATTCCCAAATCAATGCTAAATTAATAATAAATAATAAAAAATACATTTAAATAAATTTGTAGGAAAGATAAATGTTTGTATATATGACGAAAAAAATATAAAAATAATAAACCTCTCTTTAAAATGTCCAATTTTTTTTTGTCATTAGAAAATATAACAACATTAATTGACAATCTTATTAATTCAAATGATAGTACTTTATCATTAAAACATATTAGTAAGCTTGTAAAAGACTTGCATATTTTTATAATAATTGGTATAATATATCCAAAACAAAAAATTTTTAAGATATATTTACAATGGAGTCATCAGTATAGACAACCTGATGTAAATGAAATTTTTAAATTACTTGAAGCCTATGATGAATGATCTTAATGAATCAATTAAATGAATCACAAGATTGTTTAATCAAAGGAAAAAGTTGATGGCATCAACAAAATTTGTTTTTTCTACAGAAAATTGCATTAAAACATCAATCATTCATTTTACCTCAAGATTGTTAAATTAAAACAATTTGTGAAACCCAAAATATTTTTAAAATCTCATGATTTCAAGGCCATTGAAAAATCATTGCAATTTAGAATTAAATGAGGAATGGCACAAAATGAAGAATCAGAAAAAATTTTTTTCAGAAGGATGATTTTGTCAAATTGAAAATTATAATATATAGAAAATGTTATTCCAAATAATTTTTTTGATAAAATCAAACCTTATAAAAAACTTTTATTAAAAAATATATGAAGAAATCCTTGAATATAATAAATGGCAACCATATTGTTACTTCAAAGAGGTGCAAGAACAGGAGCAGGGAGAGTAGAAGGAAAATCATTAGATCTAGATATGAGATATTTAATTTCCAGCTGGATTGACAAAACAATAAATCTTTATAATATAACAGTATTCATATAGAAGTATTGGAAAAAAATTTCACTATTTTTTTATTAATATAAAATAAATATTCTGTAATTCTTATTTCAAAAAAAATATGATTGTTTACATTTTATATTTTTTTTAAAAAAAATAAATTACTTTCAAAACGTCTAGTAAAGTTTTTCAACCTTAAAGAACATCAACTCATTGCTTATTAATTCCAACAAGGATTTCCATTAAATATATTTGCAAACTTTAAATGATTTAACAAAGTTGTTAGATGACTCTGGTTTGGTGCTTTCCAGAATGATTAATTGAATTTTTTTTTTGTTGGCAAAGCACACAATTATGCAACAAGTGATTTTGGTTATGTGGAAATTTTATTCAAGTATGCAGTATTGTGCAAATCATCATCCCTGCAGGGGGACAGTTATTCAAACTCAAACCATCAAATGCATGGACTATCAAACTTGATTACTTGCAATCAAATAAAGTAAGGAATTTCAAGAAATTAAATATTGTGCTTTAGTAGTCTTTAATATGTAATATATCTATAAATTTTTGTTTTAAATAGTTATATATAATAAGAATCAACCAAGATGAAAGCATTAATCTTGTGGGGTCAATGTTATTGACAGCCATGTAATCAGTCACTTTGGATGTTTACCCATTGAAATTTCTTTGTGAGTAAAGTTTCATCATTATTGGATTAGCAGTTTCTTCAAGTAGTTGCTTTCTATCTTCATATTGATATCTTTCTGCTTCTTGATTATTGTCAAACCATCTGATTGAATTTTGGATTGCATCTTCAAGTTCCTTTTTATCATCTGGATCAATCTTGATTGAAATTTCTTTATCCTAAATTATTATTAATATTAGTGAATTGATCATTTTTAGTAAATTGTTTGATAAATTATTAAAATATTATTTACCTGAAGTGTGTTATGTAAATTATATGCATAACTTTCCAATTCATTACGTGCTGCTATTCTTTGAGCCACTTTTTCATCATCTGCACAGTATCTTTCAGCATCAATAACTAAATTAATTGATTAATTAACAAAATATTTATGTTATGTTTAAAAACTAAGTTTAATATTCACTCAAATTGATTGCTTACCCATTTGCTCAATTTCTTCTCTTGATAATCTCTTTTTATAATTAGTAATTGCGATCATATTAGATCTACCTGTAGTTTTATCAACAGCAGATACCTAATTTATTCAAAAAAATATATTTCAATAAATAAATCTAATCAAAATAGATGTGTTACATACATTAAAAATACTATGGCTATAAAATTCAAAAGTGACTTCAATTTGAGGTACACCACGTGGAGCTGGTGGAATACCAGCTAATACAAATTCACCCAATAAATTGTTATCTTTGGTACGAGTACGTTCACCTTCATACACTTTAATAATAAATTCTGTTTGATCATCAGAATAGGTAGAAAATATTTCTGATTTTTTAGTTGGAATGGTGGTATTACGTTTTATTAGGGGTGTCATTACACCACCAGCTGTTTCAATACCAAGTGAAAATGAAGCAACATCAAGTAAAAGAAGATCTTGTAATTTTTCAGATCTGTCACCACCAGTATAAATGGCTGCTTGCACAGCTGCACCATATGCAACAGCTTCATCAGGATTTATGGACTTGTTGAGTTCTTTGCCATCAAAAAAGTCTGATAATAATTTTTGAATTTTTGGAATACGAGTAGATCCACCAACCAACACAATATCATGTACTTGGGTTTTATCAATTTTTGAATCACGAAGCACCTTTTCAACTGGTTCCATGATGGAACAGAACAAATCTTGATTCAATTCTTCAAACCTGGCACGAGTTATAGATGTGTAGAAATCAATGCCTTCAAAAAGTGAATCAATCTCAATGGATGTTTGTGCTGATGCTGAAAGTGTACGTTTGGCACGTTCACAAGCTATCCTGAGACGACAAAGTGCTCTGGCATTTGTGGTAAGATCTTTTTTGAATTTACGTTTGAATTCCTGAACAAAATGATTTACTAGACGATTATTAAGATCTTCACCACCAAGATGGGTGTCACCAGCAGTGGCCTTGACTTCAAAAATACTATCTTCAATTGTCAACAATGAGACATTACAGGTACCTCCACCCCAATCAAAAATCAATGCAATATGTTCCCCTATTCTTTTATTATCCAAACCATATGCAATAGCAGCAGCTGTGGGTTCATTGATTATACGAAGCACATTCAATCCAGCAATCATACTGGCATCCCTTGTTGCTTGACATTGATAATTGTTGAAATAGGCAGGTACTGTAACAACTGCATTTGTTACTCTTGTACCAAGAAAAGCTTCAGCAATCCCCCTCAATTTTCTTAATACCATTGATGAAATTTCTTCTGGAGTAAATTGTTTAATTTCACCTTTATATTCAACTTGGATATATGGTTTAGTATTTTTATCAATAACTTTGAATGGCCAATGCTATACATAATAATTAGAAAGATGAGATAAGAAGTAAGGGATTAACGTAAAATCAAAAAAACCAAATTAAATGATCATGGTAATAGTTGTTAAATAATATACCTTCATATCAGATTGAACTTCTTGTTCATTGAAACGACGACCAATAAGACGTTTAGCATCAAAAACAGTATTATGTGGATTCATAGCAACTTGATTTTTTGCAGCGTCACCAATTAAACGTTCAGTATCAGTAAATGCTACATATGAAGGTGTTGTGTGATTACCCTGGTCATTGGCAATAATTTCAACTCTATCATTTTGCCATACACCAATACAAGAATAGACAGTTCCCAAGTCAATGCCAACTATACATATTAATGTTTTTGCCAAAATATATTTATGAAAGAAATAATAAAAAATATATTAAATAAATTAAAAATTAATAAATCATTACCTGCTTTTCCTTCAGACATTTTTTTTAATAAAAATAAACATTTATTTTGTTGGTGAACGGTTAAATATATATGGTCGCAAAAATGTAAATAATGCAATTGTGCAAATTGGTAAAAAGTATAATGAAATTTTAGTTTTGACCAATGTTATCTATCACCTATGCCGATCAAAATTATAATTGTCATTAGAACTGTGAACATTTTTTACCATTGGACTCTGAAACCTGGGAAGAATGGAAGGCAAGGAGGTATTTACTTAACATTATTCACTTATTATTATCATTTTTTTGATGTTGGTGGAATGAATAATTGTTCACTTACTACTCAACTCTTTACCTTCTTTAATATTTTCTGGTGAAGTTGGATCCCTCTATTCTTTATGTTGTATATTGTGTTATCCAACTTGCAACTGTTTCCACTTTGGGAATATTCTCGGCTTGAATTGTACCTTCATTAGCTAAAATTTGAAGTTGACTCATCATTTTCTTTGCTGTCATTCGATCAGTAAAAAGCATCCCTCAAGGCAAAGATTTTACTATTATTGTTTGCTTTTCAATGCCCATCCGAAAAATTCATCAACAGCTGTATTTGTAGAAAGAAAAATATGAAAGATGTAGTAAATAATAATAATAAATAAGCAGTAATATACCTGACTGAGTATTATCATCTATTATTTTTTATCAATATCAATGAATGATAAATGGATAAAAGTATAAATATATTTGTAAAAAATTTTTTTTTCTGAATTATTGTATTAGTAGCAACCCTAAACCCATTTTGACAAAAGTATAAAACTAATATACAAAACAAAATATTAATTATTACTACACTAAAATACAACCTTCCAACTAATAATAAAATTTAAAAATAAAAAAAACAACTTGTCAATATTAAAATTTATTCACTATTAATGATGAAATTTTTGACTTTAGTCATTGACGTAACTAAAGTATCGATTAAAGGTAGTTTCTCTCTCAACAGGGCTATTTTGACGATTTGACTAAAGTAAAAGCCCTTGACGTAAGTAAAACCACTTGATGTAATTTAAACATTTGTCGTAAGTGAAAACACCAGCAATAATGATGATGATAAAATAGGATTATCAAAAGTTCCAAATGTGTTCCAGGCCTTAATCCCATTAAACATCTGTGGGATAATCTTCTTGGCAGAAGATTTAAAAAAAATGCCCTGATCACTCAAAAAACTCCCTCAAAACAAGAATAGCAATTTGAATTTAATTGATAATATGCCAAAGAATGCATGGCAAACGAGATATTAAAATTAATAAAAAAATTAAATTATAAAATATACCAACAACAATAAATATTTTCAAATGATATAAAAATCACAAAATTTTATTTAAAAAAATTTACATTAAATTTTGTACTATTAATAATAATTATAAAGTAAAAAAGATTATTGATTTGATTTTTCAAATAATTGATAATGCTGATTTATTATTCGCATATAATCCTTAACAAGTGACATACGATGAGAAATGGAAATAATTAGTTTACACATTAAAAATACTCGTGTTTAACATAAGATATAAGGGTTGAAAAAAAGTCCAAAAACCAAATCAGCTGATATGGAATTCAATAAAGGAATATCATTAGCATTAGAACTATAGTCAAATCAGCATTGGGATTTAAATTGAGCTTACCGCCATAAGAATTACTATTATTGCTATAGTCATATGAAAATTGTTGAAATTGAGGCATGATAAAGGTGGGGGTGGTTGTGGTGCTTGTTGTAATTGGGATGGAGAAAATGACAAAGGTTATCGTGGCATTCATTATTATTAATGATGGATGGAGTTGTAGGGGATTTGTTAGCATGAATTTGCTGTTGTGTTGGTTAAATTTTTTATATATATATTTATTTATATATACTTATTTGTAAGTGATTATTAAACAATCTAAGATCGTACATGAATTTTAAATGCGATATATGTGATATTAGTCCTGCCGAAGGAGATCTACTCATTGAAGATGATAATGTGGGTTTCAAATATTTATAAATCTAATAATTATTTTATTTTTCATGTCAGAGTTAATAATATAGTGTTATCTTTCTTCAGTATGTGCACGTTCACTCGCCACTACTAGTGAAGTCTCGGTTGATTTCCTTTCCTGCCGCTACATTATGATGGTTCGGTGTATTTAAGAGATCGACCAAGGATCTAATACAGTCAGAACTTGTTAAACCGATACTTTTTTGGGCTCAAAGCATTGTTTTATTTAATATTTTTTAAAAAAATTTGGTTTAAAAATTTATACATGTACTTGTCTATACTACATTGTCATGCTAGAGAACTTTTACATAATAAAATGCTACTTCTAACGAATTTTAAACGAGTAACAAGGTCTTTATTCGTTGGAGTAGGTTTTGATTGTTTTAGAACACACATTTCTTTTAATGTCAGTGTAGTTTATAAAGTTATACAAAATAAAGAGAAGTTTCTTTCTATAAACCGATATTATTCACTATAATTTATTATATGTTAAACATTAAAATGAAACAATAGGAATATGCGTCTTATTGAGTTGATTTTTATTATAAATGAATAGGTAAACTAGAAAAATTCTGTTATAACAAAAATTCATTTTATCAAGTTACGTTTTATTGAGCTTCGACAATCCGAAAATTTAAGATCTAAATAAATCAATTGGAAAGATTTTCTGTATCACACGATTTTTTAAGAACCTCACAGGGATCGTTCCGAAATTTTACATTTCTAATACAATAAACCGATGAAAATGAAGCTTAGGTCTTTAGCTTTAGTTTCCTTCTTTTTTAATAAGAAGTTTTTAAAATCATGTGATAATCATTGGCCGTTATAGATGTCCTGCGTTATAAAAATAAAAAAATTAGACAGTGTAACGAACAGTCTTTTAAAACAGCTCATTATTTTCAAGCTCAGTTATTAAAGCAAAGTATAACTACACCATTGAATCTTTCTAATGAATATTTTTTTATATCAAAAGGAACTCTTTATGTAAAGCTACTATTATTCCTATTCAAAAATGACATCACATCTATGTAAATATCTAGCAATTTATGCAATCTTAATACATAGGCAACCCGTTAAACTGAAATTTTTTTCTATTTAATTTACCCAATAATCCGAATTTTTATACGTTTTTGAAGTAGAAAAGTAGCTGCACAAACGCCTTTGGGTTAACGGGGTTGCATATGTATCATTAAAATTGCCTCTTTTAATGGGAAACAATTAAAACAAGATAAATGAGGTAAGGATCTTTTGGACTGATCGACATTCTTTGATGAGTATATTAATAGATGACGACATTCTTGTTTACAGGAATTAACCGTTAGAAAACTGAAAATTTATTATTATTATTTAACAGTGGGCGTGAGCTAACCAAATTTAGAAACTGACTGATACTGGTATGGCGTCATCATTCGAATATCTTAAAGTCGTTTCTAAACATGGCAATAAAACGAATATTTGTCAAGTCTCTCGTTCGGGTTCTGGGAGATAGTCTGGCCCATTGTCATTATCTAGTTAAAATACAAATTTTCCACTTTTATGTTTTATTCTTCACGAAAAAACTAGGAAAATTTCGACTAACCAGTTCATTGTAACCAGAGTTAAAATGCTTATGATTATAAAAATTTAAAAGTTTCAGGTCAAAAAACCGGTTTGTCTGATTCATTATTTAAAAATCAAGTTAAAACCGGATTTAATTTTAATTTATTATTATTATACCTGTTATTATTATTATCACAATAACAATATGTACATGAAACTCGTACAGTTTATCTAGTGTCAATTGATAAATTTTTGTTTTTATTAAATTCTGCTTTGAGAATCTTCTTTCATTTGGAAATCTATTTTTGATTTCTTCCAGGTAGATAAACAAAAATATCCATTAATAGATTATCATAATCCTTATCTGGAATTTTAATAAACGCTCTCCAATATTAGAATAATTTTCATTACTCCTTCAACCATTGGAAAATATCACAAAATCGCTTTGAAAAATTTTGCTCAGTTGTGCCAAATAAGATAATAAATCACAAAGAAAATAGAAAGATTCAATCATTCTCCAATTACATAAATTCTCACGTTCTCGCGTAAATTTTACCAGTTTCACTATTATCATTCGCTAACATTTCAATTAAAGCTTGCTAATGATAACTATCCAATATTATATAATTTTTATATTCTATATATAAAATCTAATTTTTCTTGTTCTTGAGCTCTAGTGCTAGATTTTCTGAAAAAATATATATTCTACACATTAATTCATCGGCTTTTCCGTAAAATTCAATTTCTCTACTTGCATCTTTGCAGGATTAACTTTCACCTTTTTGTTGCTGCTCCATCAGAAGCAAAACCATTGATGAATAATTCTTGCCACGTTTCCCAAAGAAATTAATCAAAACATTACTAATTGTCCAAGCATCATCACCAGAAGTTAATTAAAATTTGGCTCTGAAGGTACCATCACTTTTTATATATAAGTAACCAAATGTTTTTCTACTATAACACCAGTACCCTCATCCGTCATATAAATCTTTCCACAACCTTTCATTAATTATATCTGAAAATGAATCAAGGAATTCATTAGGTTAAATTTTCATCAAGAATATTTTGAAAATATAATCCTATTATTACTAAAATAAAATTTTATAACTTCTACTATTTATATTTTCTTCATAAGTAGATGATTTCTTATGACAAAATTTATAAAATTTAAAAAAAATAACCTTTCACTTGGTCTTTTACAAGAAACAACTACTTAAATTCAAAAAAATTTTCGCGACAATTACTACAAATTTAGATTTTAATTACCAACAATTATTATTACATCTAATACCATTTTCAGAATTTACAACAAAGCAGGCCGTATTTATAGTACTATATAGTACTAATTTTTAATTGAATTACATCATTATAAAAAAATGTAACCATCACGTGTCACAATGATAAGATTTCGGTTTTAAATCAATTGTGTATTGTGTGTTTACTCAATTGATCATTATTAATAAAAAAA